TGGCTGACCTGATCGAGAGGGACCGGGCGTACCTGGCGGTGCGTGTTGTGCTTGGGCCGAGCTCTCTGCTCTGCTCAGGGAGGGAGAGGGGCAGAGACAGGTGGTTTGTGCCATTGGGTGTGATGGGGAGAGATGGGAAGGAGTTTTGGGAAGCTGAAAGCAGAAAGAGCCAACACAGAACAGATCCAAGCTGCAAACTGGGAGCTGAATCTAAATCTCTGGGTGCAACTGTCACCACCTTCTGGCAACCTCATTGTGTTTTGCAGGCGCTGGAAACTCTGGACAATGGCAAGCCATACTCCATCTCCTACCTGGTGGATTTGGACATGGTAGTCAAATGTCTCAGGTAGGTGTGGAGGCTGCAGTGACTCCTCATACTCAGCTGGCCTGTGGTAGCGAAACCTCTGCACGAGCAGAGACCAGATGCCTCCAGTTCCAGGGCTGTGGGTGGCAGGGCTGGACCTGACCTGCTGGTCCCGTGTGGCCCACGGCAGGAGATCAGACACCCGTTTTCCTCTGTTTTTATTTTTTGCTAAGAATGAGGCTGTAATTCTGACTTCCCAAAGGATTTTTGTTGCATGTATGTCTCTTGCTACATACAGGACTCGTTCTATTGGAGGTGATCTGTGTTACAGCACAGGGGTGGCAGGATTTATGTTATGCAAAGGCAGGAGAGAGGAATGTTTCTATTTACTGTCCACTCTTAAAATCCTGTTTGGGAAACACTTGTAACTGTTTTACAAGGTGACTGAAGAAGGGAGAAAGCAAACAGCTGGAGGAAGTCTCTCTTCTTTTCTGTTGATGGGAGACTTGATATTCTAAATTCACTGACCAAAATGTTACTGTTGGTAGATACTTTGCAGGCTGGTCAGATAAATTCCACGGCAAAACCATCCCCTTAGACGGAGACTTCTTCTGTTACACAAGACACGAGCCAGTGGGAGTTTGTGGGCAGATAATCCCGGTGAGCAAAATGTATCCTTACTTCCTGCAGCATTCCAAGAATTTGATGTTATCATGATGAGTTGTCTTAAAAGCCTTAAAGTTACTATGTGTTGCTCACCACTGCTTCCTTCCAGTGGTAAAGTTATGCTTGCACCAGCTGGGAGGGCTGTTATGTTGCTCTGGCGGTGTAGAACTGTCTGTTGATTTCATGGGCTGTGAGTAAGACTTACTTTATATCTGCTGATTTAAAGAATTTAAACTCCTTTATAGGAATTATCTGGCTCAGAACCACGATTAAAACTATTAAACTAGTGTTTAAAATGCTGCGTGATGAGGAAATAGCTGCAAAATTCGGCTTTATGTACATGATTGTACTTCGGTAACTAGTAGCAAGCATAGGGAGGTGGTTGGTCAACAACAAAGCCATCGTTACACAGTGACCTGTGCATAGTGTTATCTCTTTCTAGGAGTAGCCACATTCTGATTGCTGGGTGCTGTATTTGCATGGTTTTCATGTTTGCACTGGGCAAGAGCTGCATGTGAACCCCCTCACTGGTGTGCATGCATGGCCACTGCAAACAGACTTGCTTTCCAGATGCCTCAAAAGAGGGTCTGCTGGCTACACTGACAGTAGAGAGTCATTTACACGGGTTTCTGCAGTGGTGCTGATACACCTCAGAGTAGTTTCCTTGGACAAGGAGCCAGGCACTGGAGAGCAGCAAGGGGAGGAACAAAGGCTGCTTCCACAGGCATGCACTGGTTTGGATGGAGCTCGCTGGTTACTTGCTGGTTACTTACTGGTTAGTTGGAAACCCTCAAGCTCAGACCTCCTTGTTTTCCAGTGGAACTTCCCGCTGTTGATGCAGGCATGGAAACTTGGGCCTGCCCTGGCCACCGGGAACGTGGTGGTGATGAAAGTGGCGGAGCAAACCCCGCTGAGTGCCCTCTACGTGGCCAGCCTGATCAAAGAGGTGAGCGAAAGGCTGGGTTTCCATCGCTGGTGAGCTGCAGAGCGTGTGAGGCAGGAACACAGGGGCTGTTTGGTCTGAAGAAAGGCTGGATTGTCTTGGGCATCGTAGCGTTAGTGAGGTAGAAAAGGCTCTGTTCTGTGTGGGAGATCTGTCAGAGTGTTACTGCCAGGGGAGGGAAGGGGAGATCCTTGATTTGTGAAGGACTAACGTTGCTCTCCCCTGCTGTGAACTGGCAGGCTGGATTCCCACCAGGAGTGGTGAACATCATCCCTGGCTATGGGCCCACTGCAGGGGCTGCCATCTCCTCCCACATGGATATAGATAAAGTGGCCTTCACCGGCTCCACGGAGGTAAGGGAGCACCTTAACCTGCAAGCCCTTGGGATATGGAAAGCATCTCATTGCTGCAATACCTTTTCTGTGTAAAACACTGGAGGTGCTTTGCCTTCCACACTGCTTTTTAGAAAACAGAGCTGGCTTCAGGGTGTGACATTTATTTTTACTTTACATAAGACTCTTCTTAGGCACCTTCTTTAGAATACTTCCTTTGCTTCCCTTGAGCTGCTTCAGAAGAGGTGAAGCTCTGTGCAGGCTTCAGGTGCCCCCCGAGGGCGCTGACAACGAAGGGATTGTTGTTAAAGTGCTGGCTGAGACCTGCCTGGTGCTGCTGGATGCAGGAGGTAATTCCTAATACCTGTTCTCACCATGCAGGTTGGGCACCTGGTCCAGAAGGCTGCAGCAGAGAGTAACCTAAAGAGGGTGACCCTGGAGCTCGGAGGAAAGAGTCCAAACATAATCATGTCTGATGCAGACAGTAAGTGCCTGTTCATAGCACTTGATCTGTCCCTTTTGCACTGGCTTTCTGCAAGCAGAGCTGGGGGGAGAGGAAACCTCTCCAGCTCTGACCATATCTGGATGTTCTCACTCAGTGAAGTGCCTCTTGCTGTAGCTGCTGTATTTGTGTGTCAGCACTTCTGCACTCCCACTTCTTTCCCAGTGCTGTGAAGTTCAGTTATCAGCAAATGAGAACTGGTTCAGTATCTTCCTTCATTCTTAGTTCCATTTGGTTCCATTTCTTTCTCTTGGTGTGTACCACTCTTTTCTACTCTTACTCATCTCTTGCACACAGACTCATCTTTGGTCTTGATGAGCCAACGCACGTGCTTTTGTATGGCAGTAAGGAAGGAAATGTGCTAAACCACCTTGTCCTTAATACCTGATAATGTCAGATGAGAAGTGTTCTGCCTCAGATTAGGTTGGTTTTCTCTAGTATGAGCTGCTTCAATAGGCCCTCACGCTAATTAAATCTGTGTGTAACTTCTGCCCTACCAAAGCACGGAAAACACCCGTCAACTGAAGGGACTTGATGTCCCTGATACTCCATCAGTCTGCGTGCTAATTGTTCTGAAGGCTCTGCTTGGGTTTCTTTGCTGATTTGTTTTCTCCCCTCTCCCCAATCCTAGTGGACTGGGCGGTGGATCAAGCCCACTTTGCCCTCTTCTTCAACCAAGGGCAGTGCTGCTGTGCCGGATCCCGGACGTACGTCCAGGAGGATGTTTATCAGGAGTTTGTGGAGAGGAGTGTTGAGAAGGCCAAGAACAGGGTGGTTGGAAACCCCTTTGACTTTAAAACTGAACAGGGGCCTCAGGTAAGAGTAAGAAATGTCTGGGACTGTTATCTCCTGTGCATCAGCAGATTGGAACGAAAGGTATCCATGAGTCTCTTGATTTATCTCCTTTGAACTGTGGCCGGTATCTCCTTGCTCGTGCAGGAGGGAGAGGTCAGTTAACCATTCTGATGGTTCCAAACCTTCCACTTGATGCTGGCATTTGAAAACGACCATCTCCCTTTGAAGCTGGCCCTCCAGAGTGTTGAAATGAGGAGTTGCTGGAGCACAGTCACATGCACAGCAGTTTGTAGGCAAATCTTTTACTGCTTTAAAGGTGAAGCTGATCTGTCTGTCCTTGTGGCTCTTAGGTAGATGAAAAGCAGTTTAAGAAGATCCTTGGGTACATTCACACTGGGAAGCAGGAAGGAGCCAAACTGCTGTGTGGTGGCAACCCCGCTGCAGACAGAGGCTATTTCATCCAGCCAACTGTCTTTGGGGATGTGCAGGACAACATGACGATTGCCAGAGAGGAGGTGAGACCCGCAGCACCTTTCTGTCTGTCACCACCTCTCTTCTTGCTCGTTTTGCCCCCTCTGATGTGAAACCCCACGGGTCTGCAAGCACTGGGCATTCATGAACCCCAAAACAAGATGCTGCTGAGGAAGCGAGCACATTAAATTCCCTCCAGATTACATGTTGGGCTCTTTGTAATATGGGAAGTGGCACTTTGATGTCCACGAGTCCCACATCCATACGTAACCCCAGCATCAAGCGCAGCGCCCCTCCACACTCAGTGCACCCAGATTCTCACATGCTCTCTTTGGATTTGGCAGATATTTGGGCCGGTCATGCAGATCCTGAAATTCAAAACCATTGAGGAAGTCATTGAGCGAGCGAATGACTCCAAGTACGGCCTAGCAGCAGCAGTCTTTACAAAGGATCTTGACAAAGCAAACTATGTGTCACACGGCCTGCGAGCTGGAACAGTTTGGTGAGCAGCCAACTGCCTCCTCCCTGCGCTGCTGGAAGCTTTCCTGCGTGCTGCCTTTTCTCTATAAGGAGGTGTTTGTGGTGTCTGCTCTGAGGGAGGTGTGGGTGGCAACCGGGACACTTGGTCCTGTGATAACGAGAGACACAAATGGGTTTGATGTTGTTTCCTGGTTGATGGGGATGAGGTGTCACTATTGATTAACTCTGTTGTCTGAGGGAATGGACAAACATGGAAATCCTGCCTGTAAATTCAGCCGTCCCTCTGCTGTAAACACCCATTTACTGCTTCCATTGAACAGGTCTGAAACTGTAGGTGCTTGGTTTCCATTGCAGGGTTAACTGCTATGATGTGTTTGGTGCCCAAGCCCCGTTTGGTGGCTACAAAGCTTCTGGTAATGGGCGAGAGCTGGGAGAATACGGCCTGGAGGCATACGTAGAGGTGAAAAATGTGAGTATCCCCGTATCCAAGGACTTCCCAACCCTCTGCCGTAGCTCCAAACTGGTTTTGTGCCTGTTAGTAGAGGCTGGTCTGAGAGTTGGTTGCAGTTTGTCCTTCTAATGGTTGAAACAAAATTGGAGCTGCACTTGTGAAGTAACCACAAACACAACTGCATGTAACTGCACTTAAACCAGAAAGCCCCATCCCTGGCAGTGTTCAAGGCCAGGCTGGACACAGGGGCTTGGAGCAACCTGCTCTAGTGGAAGGTGTCCCTGCCCGTGGCAGGGGTTGGAGCTGGATGAGCTTTAAGGTCCCTTCAACCCAACCCATTCTATGATTCTATAAGCTGAGGAAAACAAGGGCACGTAACCGAACAGGTTACCAGCTGCCTGCACCACTTGTTTAGCTGCTTCCACTGTAAGAGTGCAAGTATGGACTTCTCCATGAGTTTATTTTGTGGGGAATGGGAAGAGCACGCGCCTGATGTGTAGAAGCTTCTGCAGCTACGAACAGGCAGACAAACACTGGACACTCATCACCCAAGAGCAGGAATCCGAGCGGTGACCACCAGTGCTTAATGCTGCTCTACTGAGTGGACACCAGTATTCCCAGTGTTCGGCAATCCCACCACCACAGGCTGGCCAGCGTAGCTGTGATGAATGTAACCGAGCGCTGCCTCTCCAGGAAGGTAACTTGAGTTTTCTCTTTCCAGGTGACAATCAAAATTCCACAGAAAAACTCCTAAAGGCAGCGTTTGGGAACGCCTGTGCTGCTCCATGGGGTGCGAAGCAGGGAAACCTCCTGACACACGCACAACTTGGGTGGAAATCTCGAGCTCTGCATTAAGAATTGTCCCTTTAGAAGGTGCCTGAAGGAGCTTTTGTTATAAGCGTTACTTGGCTTTATCTGTTTGAAGTACCAAATACAGCCACCGATACTAATGCATTACATGGGTGTACTCTGGGTGCGTCAGTGTCTGATGGGGATGGTATCTTTCCAGGAATCATTTCAGTGCTTGGCTGCAGTAAGTTTTATAGTAGTTCCTTACGGGCTTCCACAGCTCCGTCCTTGTCCCGTGCACTCATGTACGTCCTGACCTGGGAGCTGTGCGCCCGAGCAGAGCCTGAGGGGAGGGAAAAGGCTGTTCTGCTGCTCTCCTTGCACCTACTCACAATAAACCCCTCTCGGTGAAGCTGACCGGACTTACTGGAGCAGTTTGGATTCCCCTCCTGCCTCAAGCAGTTTTAAAGGCGTTTGCTCGCTTTTTGCGCCGCTTTCCCCATATTGCTTTAACGTTGAAGGAAACCCGCAGCGAGGGACGCCGTGAAGGGG